TGACCCCCAGGAGTGGCGGTAGTGACCATCGAATCCTGGAGGGCAGCGGTACTCACCAAGTTCGTAGAGAACGAGGGGAGGTGAAGACCTGACAGTGAGCCGGACGGAACCGCCGGACACGGGAGAACAGTGGAGGAACGAGCAATGACTGGGCCCCCGGAGGGGTCAGCTAGTCTGACCGGGACAGGTGCAGGGAGAGGAGTGAGGGTGGTGCTGTCACGAAAGAAACAGCGTGAGGCACCTGAGTCTAGCGTGAAAGTGTGCAAGGCCTCAGCAGGCACAGTACCACGGAGAGAAGACTCACTAGCACCTAGAGCAGCAGCCTCTATACCTGGGTCAGGCGGCACACACCGGTAACAGTCACCCAAAGCACTAGTAGACAAAGCATACATAGCAGAAAGAATAGCATCATAGTCTAGGTCAAAGATCGCAACACCAGACCTAAGCAGCTCTGCCCAGTGGGGGCGCTCGACCTCGTCACCAAACTCAGCGCGCCACGCATCGTCGAGGCAGGAGAAGCAGCGGTGCTGAGTGTGAGGCCTCCCGAATGTCTGACCAGCACGGTCACCCGTGCGAATGACATACGGACAGCTCACACTACCCCCAGACGCCCCACGCTGAAACAACCACTCACGAAGCTGCTGGGGCGACGGGGTCTCGCTCCGACGCTGCTGCCGCTGCCGCTGGCCTCCTCTAGAACCTCCTCGAGGAGCTCCAGTCCTACCTCCACCACTCCCACCACTGCCACTACCGTCACTCCCACTGCTGCCTCCACCTCCGCCACCAACGCCCCCACTCCCGCCACCACTCCCACCGCTGCCACCACCTCCACTGCTGCCCCCACCACCACTCCCGCTGCCCCCTCCACCACCCCTGCCACCCTTGCCCTTGCTGCTGCGGCGCTTCGCACTAGCAGAAGCAGCCCTGACATCCTCAGCACCAAGGACGTCAACAGCAGCAGCAGAGGCGTAGGAGGGGGCAAGGGGGGAGGGGGAGCACCCCTCAAAGAAGGGTGTGCGTGGAGTGCCACGAGCAGCACCTACCTCGACTACACTAGTCTCAGCTGCAAGGAGGTGCTGCTCGAGTAGGTCAACAGTGAGGGCTGTGGGGTCAAGGGAGGGAAAGTGGTCCCTGACAGAGCGAAGAGATTCAGGGAGGCGGGTGACTATAAAGTAGAGAGTGATGAACATCGGGGGCTGGTTCCTGTCAAGGAACTCAGCAGGGGCGGCATCTCGGTTGCGAGCGTCGCGAGCGCGAAGGTGGGAAACCAGGTCCTCGACTGTGGCAAAGGCGGACAGCTCGGGGAACAGGTAGGGCAGTAGGAGGCGGCCTAGAGCAGCAGTGGCAGGCGAGGAGTAGCGAGCGACGACAGCGTCGTATAGTGCCTGTGTTGTCCTGTGCTGTCCGAAGTGAGCGCATTCGGCTAACGGCAAGTGGTTGCGAATGGCTAAGCGAGCAGCAGCGTCACGAGTAAGCCACTGTGAGCGGGTCGCACTGTCAGCTGTGGCGGGAGGGGCTGGAGCGGTGCCAGACGTGAGGTCAAACAACGAAACACTGTCCCTAGAGTTGCTCAGTAGGTACAGCTGCAGGTCGTCGAGCCACGTGTCAAACTGGATCGGGCGTCCCTCAAGATCGAATGCTAGCACGCGGAGAGAAGCCATAGCGGCGCAGCACGTAGGGTTGGCAGAGGCCGGGCAGCGCGAGGAACAGGGCAGGCAGCAGGCTGCAGGAGGGGCGGCTCGAGGGCCTAGGGGCGGCCGTGGGGCAACGTATCGGGGCCAGGGGCGACGGGCTGGGGTCTAGGGGCAACGGGTCGGGGCCTAGGGGCGACGGGCCAAGGGGCCAGGAGCAACGGGCTGCGGGGCCGGGAGCGACGGGCCTGGAGCCTAGGGGTGACGGGCCGTGGGGCCTAGGGGCATCGGGCCGGGGGCCTAGGGGCGACGGGCCGCGGGGCCAAGAGCGACGGGTCAGGGCCTAGGGGCGATGGGCCGCGGGCCTAGGGGCGACGGGCCGCGGGGCCAGGAGCGACGGGCTGCAGGGCCGGGAGTGACAGTCTGGGGGCCTTGGGGCGACGGGCCACGAGGCCTAGGGGCGACGGGCCGGGGGCCTAGGGGCGACGGGCCGCGGGGCCAGGAGCGACGGGTCGGGGCCTAGGGGCGAAGGGCCGCGGGCCTAGGGGCGACGGGCCGGGGGGCTAGGGGCGATGGGCCGCGGTGCCAGGAGCGGCGGGTCGGGGCCTAGGGGCGAAGGGCCGCGGGCCTAGGGGCGACGGGCCGCGGGGCCAGGAACGACGGGCCGCAGGGCTGGGAGTGACGGGCCAGGGGCCTAGGGGCGATGGGCCACGGGGCCTAGGGGCGACGGGCCGGGGGCCTAGGGGCGACGGGCCGCGGGGCCAGGAGCGACGAGTCAGGGGGTTAGGGGCGACGGGCCGCGGGGCCTAGGGGCGACGGGCGACGGGCCGCGGGGCCTAGGGGCGACGGGCCGCGGGGCCAGGAGCGACGGGCCGGGGCCTAGGTTAGGGGCGACGGGCCGCGGGGCCAGGGGCGACGGTCTACGGGCCGGGCCTAGGGGGGGGCGACAGGCCGGGCTAGGTGGGGGCGACGGGCCGGTCTAAGGGCGACGGGCCGGGGCGACGGGCCGAGGGCGACGGGCCTAGGGGCGACGGGCCGAGGGCGACGGGCCTAGGGCGACGGGCGAGGGCGACTGGCCGAGGGCGACGGGCCGGGAGTCGACGGGCCTAGGGCGACTGGCCGAGGCGACGGGCTAGTGGCGATGGGCCTAGGGGCCTACGGGTCGCGACTGGCAGTAGGGGCAGCACGAGGGCTGCAGAGGGCTGCTAGCGGGGTAGCGCTGTGGTGGGCCCAAGGAAAAAAAAAATTGTCCTAGCGGAGGACCTGCTCTGAAACCATGTCAGAAGAACAAACGAGAATGAATGCATTGAGCAGAAGTTGGGTACAAGTACTAACCCTAATTGGGTTGTACCCCTTATGGGCTACCCCACTATAGCCTACACAAATGTAAGCACTATAACATTCTGACAGGGACCACGTGCTTGCGGAGATTCACTCTACAACGGTGGGAGCTAGACTATGGGGTTGACACAAGTTGTGAGCGTGATCGTAGTTTTGCCTGCGTTCTCTAGCACTTGCACATTCACAGGAAGAATTGGCAAGAGTTTCACTTGCAAAGTTGGGATTTCATAATGATTGAAGAAGAAATGACAAAAATGATTACATAAGGAACCTAGCAACCCTGCAGACAAGCAGGTCGACTGCCAGCGCAGCATGGCCGACAATCTGTCAGCGTTGCATAGAGGCACCGCGCCAGCACTACAGAAAGGCGACCTGGAGCACGTCTTTACCGCCACGTAGGAGCCAAGTCGGCCACGTGCCGACGATTTCGCCTGACGCTCCATGTCGACCTTGGGATACCAGCTTGAGGTCGCCCTCGCCATCGCAACCTCGATACCAGCTTGGGATACCAGCTTGAGCATCGCGTGCCTCTACAGAACCTCGCCGAGGAGGTTACTTGATCGACTGGGTACCACCACCCGGCGCCCTGGTTGACGGCATCCCTCGTTGACCACGACTCCCGTCGAGGACTATCCTGGTCGACGTACCCCTCCATCGACCACCTCGGTCAACCTCTGCTGTCGACCTGCCATCGTCAATGGCTTCTCGACAGTCCCGTGCAGGTTGACGACCGCCTTCGTCGACCACACCCAAGGCAGGTCGACGAACCCCTTCGTCGACCACGCCAGTCGAAATCTGTCGCCGGCTTCTCGTTGTCGGTGGCTTCGTAGCTGTATTCAAGCAGGTCGACCAACTCCGTCGACCTGCACACGTCGACCTCTGCGAGTGGTCGGCCATACCTCCCGCACACCCGACCACTACGTCGGCTTCGCCCAAGCGAGGGCGAGGCCAAAACCCTATTCCTGTCAACAGCACTGAGAGTTAGTGAGTAGTGCCTCATGACACGTCACTTCCTTGCTCGCGTGCTAAGTTCGAGGAGGTTCTCTTTGATTGGGACCACGTGCAGAGAGTTGGTGAGTCGTGCCTCACGACACGTCATTTCCTTGCTCGCCTGCTGAGTCTGAGGAGGTTCTCTTTGAGTGGGACCACGTGCTGAGAGTTGGTGAGTAGTGCCTGTTAGAATACTAGCGTGAGTTGGGAACCATGGCGAGGGAGAGAAGCTAAGCATTGAGTGTCGAGAGAATTGGAAAGGAGAGTGTCAAGAGGAATGATGGGTTTCACTATAGCACACAAGGTACATATAGCAAAATGAACAAAGGTGCACCACCAAACAATAGGAGCTACACTACAGTTAATCCTACAGGCAGTTATATAACAGAACATATAATTATATTTTATGACACACCCCCATAACTGCCTGCAGGAGAAAACCTGTGTAGAACACCCCTTGAAGGGGTACACCCGGTGCAGTGGAAGACGGCAGAGAGGTGAGTGAGGAGGAGGAGGCGAGAGAGAGAGAGAGAGAGAGAGAGGAGGTGAGAGGAGATAAGAACGAAGGAGGAGGTGAGTGAGAGAGATGAGGAGAGGAGGTGGGGGAGCGTGCATGAGCATGACAGCTCACTGCCGGCCATCCCTCTTACTAACCCCCTTTACAAAGGGGGAGGTGAGTGAGGGATGAGGAGAGGAGGTGGGGGAGCGTGCATGAGCGGGACAGCTCACTGCCGGCCGGCCCTCTTAACAACCCCCAAGTCCTCACCCTCAATTCAACCACCCCCTTAATCTCACCCCCCTTATCAGCTGCTCCCTTGTATCTCACCCCCCTTCCCCCTTTCCTTCCTCCAGCCCCTGCCCCACCCACAATAGTCCCTGCACTGATCTTCACACGGCGGCCTGCCCCCTCTCCCCCACCCCCCATCCCCGCCACCTCCCCCCCACAGCAGTAGCCGCGGGAAGGGAGAGGCAGGGCAGAGGGTGGGGCTGTAGTGGTTCACGGCGGCCACCCCTTCCACGCCTCCTCCCCCCCCAAAAATGGAGGAGAAAGGGGGGGGCGGGGGGGGGGCTGGTGCCGCAGATCCCCTCCCCCCCCACTGCTGCACCCGCAGCAGGGGGGAGGTAGGAGAAGGGGCGGTGCAGGAGCCGCTCGGGCGACAGCAGGTTGGCCACACCCGCCACCCCCATACCCTCCCCCCCACTGCTGCAGCTGAGGCACATCCGCCACCCCCTCACACCCTCTCCCCGCCATCCCCATGGAGGGGGGGGAGGGGGGCGGGGGCGGAGCTGCGCGTGCGACTGTAGGGCACGCGGGCAGGAGGTACCCCCTCTTGCAACCCCCTCACCCACCATGTTGCAACAGGGCACCGGGGCCGCGGGTAGGGGCGGCAGATCGCGAGGGGCCATGGCCAAGGGCGACGGGGCCATGGCTAGGGACGACGGGGCGATGGCTAGGGACGGGGCCGGGCGCTGGGCAGGTACCAGGCGCTGAGCAGGGACTGGGCCGGGCGCTGGGCAGGTACGGGGCCGGGCGCTGGGCAGGTACGGGGCCGGGCGCTGGGCAGGTACGGGGCCGGGCGCTGGGCAGGTACGGGGCCGGGCGCTGGGCAGGTACGGGGCCAGGCGCTGGGCAGGTATTGGGCCGGGCGCTGGGCAGGTACGGGGCCGGGCGCTGGGCAGGTACGGGGCCGGGCGCTGGGCAGGTACGGGGCCGGGCGCTGGGCAAGTACGGGGCCGGGCGCTGGGCAGGTACGGGGCCAGGCGCTGGGCAGGTACGGGGCCGGGCGCTGGGCGCGGAATGGGGCCGGGCGCGGGGCTAGGTACGGGGCCGGGCGCGGGCTAGGTACTGGGCCGAGCGCGGGCAAGAGACGGGGCCGGGCGCTGGGCGAAGGACGGGGCCAGGCGCGGGCTTGGTACGGGCCGGGCACGGGCTAGGTACGGGGCCAGGCGCGGGCGAGGTACGGGCCGGGCGCGGGGCTAGGAACGGGGCCGAGCGCGGGCTAGGTACGGGCCAATCGCGGGCTAAGTACGGGCCGGGCGCGAGGCTAGGTACGGGCCGATCGCGGGCTAGGTACGAGGCCAGGCGCGGGCGAGGTAAGGGCCGGGCGCGGGGCTAGGAACGGTGCCGAGCGCGGGCTAAGTACGGGCCGGGCGTGGGGCAGGTACGGGGCCGGGCGCTGGGCAGGTACGGGGCCGGGCGCTGGGCAGGTACGGGGCCGGGCGCTGGGCAGGTACGGGGCCGGGCGCTGGGCAGGTACGGGGCCGGGCGCTGGGCGCGGAATGGGGCCGGGCGCGGGGCTAGGTACGGGGCTGGGCGCGGGCTAGGTACTGGGCCGGGCGCTGGGCGAAGGACGGGGCCAGGCGCGGGCTTGGTACGGGCCGGGCGCTGGCTAGGTACGGGGCCAGGCGCGGGCGAGGTACGGGCCGGGCGCGGGGCTAGGAACGGGGCCGAGCGTGGGCTAGGTACGGGCCGATCGCGGGCTAAGTACGGGCCGGGCGCGAGGCTAGGTACGGGCCGATCGCGGGCTAAGTACGGGCCGGGCGCGAGGCTAGGTACGGGCCGATCGCGGGCTAGGTACGGGGCCAGGCGCGGGAGAGGTACGGGCTGGGCGCGGGGCTAGGAACGGTGCCGAGCGCGGGCTAAGTACGGGCCGGGCGCAGGGCGACAGAGTCTACGGGGCCAAGGGGCCGAGCCTAGGGGCTAGGGGCGACGCCAAGGGGCGACGGGCCGGGGCCTAGGCTAGCAGGGCAGTAGGTGGTGGGCCCATTAACATTAGGTCCTAGGAAAGTTATGCTCCTAATACCATGTTAAAATACTAGCGTGAGTTGGGAACCATGGCGAGGGAGAGAAGCTAAGCATTGAGTGTCGAGAGAATTGGAAAGGAGAGTGTCAAGAGGAATGATGGGTTTCACTATAGCACACAAGGTACATATAGCAAAATGAACAAAGGTGCACCACCAAACAATAGGAGCTACACTACAGTAAATCCTACAGGCAGTTATATAACAGAACATATAATTATATTTTCTGACAGTGCCTCACAACACATCAGTTCCTTGCTTGCCTGCTGAGTTTGAGGAGGTTCTCTTTGAGTGGGACCACGTGCTGAGAGTTGGTGAGTAGTGCCCGACAACATGTCATTTCCTTACTCGCCCCCCGCCCTAACCCCCCCCCCCCCCCCCCCCCTCCCCCCCTTTTTTTTAGGGTTTGATTTTTTTATTTTTGTTTTGCGCTAAAGCGCTACGGGGCGCACTACCTGCGGGGCGTGCTGCCATGAGACGTGCTGCCTGCAGGGCGCGCGGCCTATGGGGCGCACTGCCTGTGGGGCGCGCTGTCTGCGGTGCGCGCTGTCTGCGGGGCTCGCGGCTATGGCAGAGCACGGGGCAGCCTAAGGCAGAGCACGATTCTAACGGACGGGTAGGTAGCCGAACGAATGGAGCTAGGGCGGAGAGCAGACGGAGCTAGGCCCTAGGAGCTACCTAATTTGATTCCAACTCATAATGTATTAGCGGAAATGTATGACTAAGGAAGATGGGTGGTACAAGTAAATGTGTTATACCCCTTAAATGTGTTATCCCCCTTACTGTATGCATATTTGTAGTGTGCAGCTTGAGCGGGCGGCAAAAATATTATGTCAATCGGTGTGTGGGGTTGTTTGGACATGGATTGTACGAGTGGACATGGATTGCAGGAGTGGGAACTTACAAAGTCAAGCTTGTCTAGTTTCATTAGTCGGCATAATTGCGATTCCATGCACTCTTAGAGTTCAGGAACTTGGTACTTGTCAGCTGCCATAAGGATTCTCAATTCCTGCATAGACAAAAGAATAGGGAATTCAATAGAAATAGTGAGGGTTCAAGTGCAAAACAATGAACGCAACTCCGTCATGCCAATAGAGAAAAATTGCATTCCCTAGTACTATCACTCACCTTTTGGGTTGCAATGTCAATACAATGTAGCTCACCTGTGTACATGAAAGTTAGTAAATTGTTTAGCGTAACGGGGTCGATATCATTCATCCGAACACATCCACTCTTCTCCTCTTGAAACCCGCTGCTCAACATCTTTGCAAAGACAGGAGACCTGCAATGTGATGCGTACTTACAGTTCACCAAGATACGAGAGTGGGAGAAAGAGATTGCATTCTGCTTGAATGAATAGAAAACTAGTCATTGTAACAAAGCACAGTAACCATGTCGCAAGCACGCATTAGCGAGCAGCTACTTTTCCTCCGTCGTGTGTCTCTAGAGTTGCGTCACATAGTAACGTTTCCAGACGCGTCCATCATACGCTTTATCTTGCTGATGAACAAGTTTGCGTTTCCTCTCCGAACATTATAATTGCTTGATGCGACTTGGTAACATGGACAGACATAAGTACCGCCTGAATAATAGTTGCCACCACATGCACCACATCTAGCCATTTTAGAAGCTTCACAAGTCGTGCCTAACCATAACTCATAATACAGCTTGACAGAACATACGTGTACAGGAGGAAAGCCTTCGTAGGATCTCAAAGTGTAATAGAAACTCGGGTTTGTGCATTGGATGATCGGAGACGAGATATATTGCGAGCCTCGCATGTGACTCGTTAGGCTAGGTGGGAAGTTTGAAGCTCTCCCGAACCTCTCTATGTAACGACTAGGTCCGTACCCTCTTTGGCCCTTGTCTAAGACGGAAATAATTTGAAAGGCATGGCGGTTCGAAATTTCCAATTTCTGTGTTACCAAACCTGGAGCAGTCATGCCAGTTTAGTGGAAATTATCCCTAACGCCATGCACACTAGTAGCAGCGGGTGACTCGCATTGCATCGCGTCTTTCATCATGCGTTTTCCTGCTCATTATTACTTCACTGCTCAATGCCATTCCCTGATTTCCATGGCACCAACGTTCGGATCAGGTATAGCAACTGTCCTCAACAGTAGTCCTGGTCAGACATTAGAGAACACCTATGTCCCAGCCAACAGATGGGAAGCGGAAGGAGAGCAATTACTATTTAACGGGTCAAAAGGCCCCTTTTTTCTCTCCTTTTTCAAGGGGAATGGTCCTGTTTGGCGGACAAAGAAGATCAAGCTGACTGAAGACTGTCACGCTGGGTGAATTAATAAGAACCGGATGGGAGCAGGAAGCTCAAGGATGACATGACGCTGGACAGGGAACTGGGCGGAGTGAAGGAGAGGAAGTGGGTGATGAAATATTGTGCGGCGGCGCTGAAAGCCTCGAAGGACCTCGTCGTTGAAGTGCTCATGGCATAGGAGGTTTTTGCGGCTTCTAAGTTAGTCCGCACGAATTCGCATCGGCCAGTGGTGCTGCTATACTATAGGCTCGAGCACACGATGGACAACAAGGTTTTATGAAGGAGTGTAACGATGGAAGCAGATGGAAGCACGAAAGCAGTGGAGCATGCAAGTGTGATGGAGATAAGCATGTGGAGGGTCGCACCGATGCTGGAGATAGACAGCAGGGTCATGGGACCCCTAAGCTCACCAAAAGTGTGTCTCCTACTGAAACAGCCACTAAGCTGTTTTGGCAGAGTAGTAGTAGTAGGAAGTGCTCTTAGGGGAATTTCAGAAAGATAGTAGCAAGATAGCTTTACAAGAGATCATATGATGGCTTACATTTCAGAGATATATCCTAATATACTAGGATACTAGCAAGGGCGCCTCGAGCAGGTCGCTCAGGTCGCCTATCATCTTTCTAGAGCTAAGGACAGCAAGGCATAGTCATTATGATTATGTACAAGACATACTAGCCTTGTTGTCATATCCTAGAACCAATAAGCATAGCCTAGGAATTCACTAAGGTAATGGGCAGAGATTATTTGTCTTGTTGTCGTCCATGGTGTCGTTGATAATGATGACCACGAGCTCTGTTGGAAGTAGCCATGGCTGTAGGAAAGTATGCTTGCTTGTGCTGTCAAATACTTTGCTGCGCTGTTGGAGTTCTCTGCCCAGTTGTGTCCAGCACTAGTAGTATGCTCTCTGGAGTTGTTCCCACGGTTGGAAACTCAGAATTACGAGCCGCACAATTCAATGTTGGATTCCAACATTGAATTCCCGAAATGTACTTAGGGTGTGTTCCGAATTCTGGTTCGGATCACAAGGAGCTGAGTTGGCGAAATCGAGGATGACGAGATCGCCTTCGTCTTGTTACACCTACTGTTGAAACTATGCAAGGGAGGAGAGCCAACTGAGTTGAGGGAACTGTGAAGGGCAATAAAAACCAAGTCACGCATCCGAAGCAGCAACTGCAATGGGAGGAGATGTGGGGTAGGAGGATTGAGTGGAAGAGAGTCATCAAGACGAGAGACTCGGTGATGCTGGCCAGGGCGAAGGAAATTATCGTGCGCACCCACAGTAACAACCTGCAAGTGGGAGAGAGGCTTCCGTTCCTAGGCCAAAGAGCGCACTGTGTACACTGCAGGGAAACATAATAATTAAACCACTGTCTTTTCAACTGGCCCGATAATATAGACGGAGGTAACGGCAGTACAGGGGGCACTTCAACGGATGAATCCGGACAGGAGGGCGGAGTCGATAGGAGACTTACTATTTCAATACACATCCAAGGAGTCTGACTTCTCGGACACGTCGATCATTGCGACAACTAATCAGATTTGGCTGGCAAGGTGTAACGCTATCTTCGGGGGAGCGGCTTTCCAACCAAAGAAGGTGCTGAGAAGAATCAACGTCAATTTCACATGCCACGTAAAGATCTACAGCAGGGCACGAAAGAGAAAGAGTGGAAAAGGGGACCACGGCGGGCCTGATGGATGGAGACACCTGGCTCGTGACGAGGCGAAGGTGATGAACAAGATTTT